GAGATCATCAGCCAGACCCAAAGCCCCCCCTAAAATTGTTGAAAAGCACTCTTTGAGGCACTTCAGCACTCAGGCATTTACAAATGATGTGCTTCACTCAGATATTGATAAGGTCTGTGATATCCCCAACCTGACTACGGCTTTGGAGACTTTCAGGTACACGTTTCTCCAAATTCTTGACAAACATGCTCCGTTGGTTAGATTTAAAACTAAAGGCAACCGCCCACCATGGTATGATCCTTTGATTACAAAGCTCATGAAAACTAGGGACAAGGCTTGGGCATGTGCTCAGAAAAGTAATTTGGTAAATGACTGGCTAGAATACAGGATTTTAAGGAATAGATGCGTAAAAAAATACGGCATGCAAAAAATGCCTATTTTTCCTCTACTCTCCTGGAATCACATGGAAATGCCAGGATTTTTTGGAAAACAATCAAATCTATCGAAAAGGCATCCAAAACAGAAAATCTGCCCGTTGAGCTTCACCGAAATGGGGAATATTTTTCAGATCCCAAAAAAATAGTTGACAATTTTAACCTTAATTTTTCTGAAGCTGGTAATCTTTTTGATCATTTATTGGGAGTCACCCCTGCTCCTGCAAATTCCTACACCCCTGTCCAAACATTAAACGAATTTAGTTTCCAACCAATCCACGAAAGTAAGGTTCTGAAACAACTGTCCTACCTCAAAGGGTCCTCCTCTACCGGAGCAGATAGTTTTCCCGTCTTTGCTCTACTAACTGTTGGTCACCTAATATACAAACCTATAGCCCATATTTTCAACCTGTCCATCAAAGAAGCATCAGTTCCTCTAGAATGGAAACAATCCTATGTCCGTCCACTTCACAAAGGGGGCCCTAAAGATGATCCCAATAACTACCGACCTATCTCAATTTTGTCCCCATTGATGAAAATTTTTGAAAATTATTGAACTACCAAATTAGCAGTTTCCTGTCCATCAACAATCTACTACATCTAAAACAATCTGGGTTCCGGAAAAAATACAGCACCACATCTGCTGCATTAGACTCTTTGAATCAAATTTACAATAGCCTTGATAATAAGCAGTACTGTGCCTGTCTTTTTATTGACCTGTCCAAAGCTTTTGATACAGTTGACCACAACACGCTGCTTAGTAAACTAAGTTGCCTCGGTTTTTCCGAGAACACAGTACAATGGTTAAAAAATTACCTCTTTTCTCGCACCCAAACTGTATTCACAGATGGTTGGAGGTCAAACAGTGTTAAGATAACAAAAGGGGTTCCACAGGGTTCCATCCTCGGCCCCCTCTTGTTCTCTCTTTATGTCAATGACTTGGGCACTGAACTGGATCATTCCAGGGTAAATCTTTTTGCAGATGACACGATACTGATTATTGCTGGCCGCTCTCCGGATGACGTGATTGCTAAGCTCCAGGGTGATTTCAACAAACTACAACATCAGCTAGTTTATCTTAAACTAGTCCTGAATACCTCCAAAACCAGGGTGTTATGCTTCTCTCCGGGACTAAAGCAGGAAGTTATTTTTCCCCAATTACATTCCTTGAATAATTATCAAATAGAGCAAGTCAAGATCTATAAGTATATTGGGGTCATCCTGGATTCAAAACTTAGTTTTGAAGATCACATTGATTATATTGGTAAAAAGACAAAAATAAAAATTGGTTTTCTGTATCGACACAAGCACTTCTTCCCCCCAATGTTCCGTTTGGAATTGATAAAAGCTACTATACTGCCTCTACTTGACTACTGTGACATCTATCACTCGGCCTTAAGATTTGCATTGAACTGCCCATATAGGACTCACCACTGTGATCTCTACATTGGGTCAAACTTAACATCTCTTAATGTTCGACGGCTTGTGCACCAGATCTTATTTATTCACGATGTACTTACAAAAAATTCCGCAGACTACCTACTGGATCTCCTCTCTGTTTCAAAGAACAAATTTGACCTCAGGTCTTCGCTCATTTACCAGCTTCACATTCCCTATTGCCGTACAAAAACTGGAGGAAGGGCCTTTGCTATTGATGCCCCCAGGGTCTGGAATGATATTGCCAATAAACTGCAACTTGAATCACTACCTATGAGATCTTCACTCAAAACTGCTCGAGGAGTTGTACAACCCTAGCTGCCACTGCTATTCAGTGCCCTAAAATATGGCTCTAGATTTTGGTGTTATAATTTATTTATGTAGTTTATTGTTAAAAATTCGGTCACAGTCCCTATGATCACTGTTACATTGGATTTATGGCTTTTATTTTGGTGATTTCGAAAAGTTTTTTTTGTTTTGGCCATGTTTTTGTTTATTGTAGTACGGAGTTAGACTGATGGCCTTAATCTTAGTTGTCTTGTGGTTGTTGTTGTTGTTATTTGACTTGCATCCCACTGGGATTTTTGCACACAGCGTTGGTGTACGGTGCTATTTCAGGAATATTGATATTTTTCCTGTATTTTCTGTTTGCACAGTCACATAATCACTTTAAGATGTTTTCTTGTTCATGTTTTTTGTTTGTTGCGGTTGCACCCGATTCAAGAGCCGAATGGCTCACAGGGCTATACCAAATAAATGAACTATGAACTATGAACATCGACCGTTTGCTTATTACCGAGACCTGGTGCAGGCCAGACTCCCCGCCAGCAATCTATTTGGAAGTCGCGCCCCTAGGATACAAGGTTCTTCACAAACCTTGCGCGACTAACCAGCGGGGTGGTGGCTTAGCGGTCGTCTAAAATGCTGACTTGAAAATTAAAGAGCTCTATCTACCGATGGCTCCCGCCACCTTTGAGGTCCAGTCCGTGTCCCCCACTACTAACACCGAGTGCTTTTCCCTCATTTCCATCGATCGCCCTCCAGATGGCAGCATCACTACCTTCTTAAACGAGCTTTCCAATTTTCTATACCTCATTGCTAACCCATCTCACAGGCTCGTGCTTACTGGAGACTTTAACTGCCCTGGCAATACCCCAGCCTCCATTGATAGCCACCTCGAGTCAACCTTGGCCTGCCATAAACTGGTCATCACCAACTCAGGCCCCACCAAAGCTTCCTCAACAAATGTTGAGAGGACGCTCGACCTGGTCAAAGCATCAGGTTCACCCATCACTTCAGCTACCTCGGTGTCATCCTAAATTCAACTTTATCCTTCGACCGCCAAACCAATCATATCATCAGTTCATGTAACTTTCACCTGAAGACTCTCCGACACCTACGTCCTCTCATCTCCACTGAAACTGCCAACACATTGGCATGTTGCATAGTTGTGTCTCGCCTCGACTATTGCAACTCCGTCCTAGTCCGACCCTCCTGTGGCAACCTCAAAAAACTTCAAAGACTACAAAACCACCTGGCACGCACTCATCCCCGTCTCGACTCACTTGGCCTGTCTCCGTGCCCTCCACTGGCTACCCATCGCCAGCAGGGTCACATACAAGATCGCCTGCCTCTGCCACCATGCCTTCACATCTGCCTGCCCCCCGTACCTTTCTTCATTATTGACGACTTGCAGCGCAGCACACGGCAGATGCCTTTGCAGTGCGACTCACGACCTCCTCTTGATATCAAGATCCAGGACGGTCACGTCTATGCGCCGCTTCTTAGTGACTGCCCCAACAGTCTGGAACGCCATCCCTCTGCACATTCGCAGCATCACCTCAATCGCCTCCTTCAAAGGACACTTAACTCCCCTCTACAACCACGCTTTCAAGTGACTCTGAGCTTGGCTCCGCGCCTCTGAGTTGCGGCTGTTACGTCCGCAAATTTGCGCGCGTTATAAATTGCATTATTATTTATTATTTAGGCCCACTGGACTATATATATCTTATTCTTTGGGTCTTTCGGTAAAGTCACGTAGATAGAAAATAGAATCACGACGTTTCGATTGCAACACAAGCAATCGTCTATTTTTATATCTACGTGACTTTACCGAAAGACACAAATAGTATGAATTCCTGCAGTCACGAAAGCTTTACGTCAAAATAGCTCAACAAAGTGGATTATCATTTGGACCAAACACTATAAACGCAGTAATCTTGACTTAAAGCTTTTCTGACTGCAGTAATTCATATTCTTTGGGTCTTTCTGTAAAGTCACGTAGATAGGTTCAAAGAAAATAACAAAAAACTACGACGTTTTGATCACAACTCAAGCGATCGTCATCCTCCTGATGATGATCGTCATCCTCCTGATGACCATCGCTTGAGTTGTGATCGAAACGTTGTAGTTTTTTGTTATTTTCTTTGAACCTATCTACGTGACTTTACTCAAAGATTCTAGATTTAAAGCTTTCGTGACTGCAAGGATCCATACTCTTTGGTTCTATTCGGTAAAGTCAAAGAAAACTGTAAACGCATGTCTATAAATGTGGAGTGAAAAACCGGATCACTCGGAGAAAAATCCACGCGACCACGGGGAGAGAGACACGCAAACTCCAAATATACAGCAGCAGGCGTCAGAGTCGGGATTGAACCCACAAACTCCTGTAAACCAAGCGAGGTAGCTACAATCTCGCTACTCCACCACTGATCACCCCAAAATCAGCAAGCTCTTAAACAACCGCTGGTATGTTTCATCTAATTATTTTTAATTATTAGTAAAAGTGAATGTCTAATTATTTGTAATTATTAGTAAAAAATTAATGTCAACTTACGATCATAAATTTTTGTATACTTCATGACATTTAGTCACATCCCCCCCCCCCCCCCCCCATAAATGTCAACCAGGAACGCAACCCCTGAGTTTAACATGTCTACGGCAAATTAGAGTTCGCAAATTTCCACACGAGAAGACCAATTCGTTGCGCTATCATTTCTGGCCAGGTCGCTTCAGAAAAAAAAGAGCTACATAGCTCAGCGTGGCCTTACTGTGGTGAAATATTATAAAACATAGTTTTTAGTCGTTTATTTTCTATAGGAACGCATCCCTTAACGTATAGCGGGGATGTCTCTATAGTTGACCCCCCCTCACCCACGTGACTTGGCCTTTACATATCGCACCGCGCATCGGCGATGCGCCCCCCCACCCCCTCCCCCCGTAAGGCTCCCCGCGATTTGGGGAACGCGGTGGGGTCACGCGGCGGGGTCACGCGGCGCGCGCCACCCAATGGGCGAGTGGCCAGCCATGGCCTTCGCGGCGCCCATGCGCGCTGGGAAATGCAAGAGAGGCCGGCGGTGGTTACGGCTCTAGGCGAGCCGAGGAGCGGACGACGCTGCCCGGCCCCCCCCCCCCCCCTCCGCCGTCGCTTCTACCCCGAGGTTCTTCCAGAGCAACAGCCGCAGTGCCAGCGGCGATGAGCAACGACGCCGCGGCATGCAGGTAACGCTGGCCGCCTCTCCCGCGGCTAATCTCTCACGGGGTTACTGGCGCGTCGCGGCTGTGGCCTAGTCGTTGTTGACGAAGCCTCGGGTTCGCTTGGATCCGCCGGCCCGGGGTAGGCGCGCGGGGAGGGGAACGCGACTCGAAGCGGGGCCGCGGTCTCAACCTCGCATCGTCATCTTCTGCTCGGCAGGCCACCGCCGCCGCCGCCGCTTCTGCGGTGTTAAAGAGTACATAAATAAAAACCCGTAATTGTTTTATCGCTCTTGTGTTGTTGTTTTAACTCTTCATCATCGAGGTAGCGGGTAGAGCGAGCGAGCGAGACGCTTTTGAATGAACGGCGCCTCGCTCGGCCCCGCCCTGCGTGGTGGAAATTGGACGTTACCATGGCGTGGAGCCGCCTAGCGCTTACACAAACGGGGAATGGGGAGAAGGGGGTACAAGGTTCGTCGTTGTGTTAGGTGTGTTGTCCCCCACACACACACCTCTGATTAGCTACGTTCGGTGCAAACAAAGTTCAACATAGCGTACACATTTTGATTTAAAGCTTTCGTGACTGCAGGGATTAATATTCTTGGTTCTTTCGGTAAAGTCACGTAGAAGGGAAACAATAAAAATATAAAGCAATAAAATTCTCACATTTTATTGTTTCCCTTCTACGTGACTTTACCGAAAGAACCAAGAATATGAATACCGTACAAAGTTTAACACGGAGGAGGCTTATTATGGGTATAGATCGCGTAAATATATAAATGTGTCATCATAGGGTTTTCCCCTTTTTTTCTGGCAACAAAACTGAAACCTTTTTTTACGAGGATTCTTGTCTGCATTAACCACAATACCTGCAGTCAAAAGCTGTACGCCTTTTGGCGTCATCTGGTCGAGCACCAATTGGGTCAAGGCTCAAAAGAAAGCCGTCCCTTGGTGTGAACCAATCAGTTTCAAGGACAATGCATATATTACCATAGTATGTTTTTTGTTTGCATTTTGACTGCAGTTATTGTGGTTAAAAAAAGGTTTCAGTTTTGTTGCCAGAAAAAAGGGGAAAACCCTATTATTACATTTTGGTACTGGCAAAGGAAGTCTAATGATGATGATATAAATGTGTCGTTACTAGTTCAGCACGCCGGTGTGTTAGAGAGTAAACCCACAACATTTACAATTCGAGGACGACGTTTCGCTGGTAATAACAGCTAGCTTCATCAGGCGATATCCAGAATTGTGGATAATTCCTCCAGTTTCGGTCTTAAATAGAGAAACTTTCAGTTCATCAATGTACAATGGATCCAATTTTTTTTAAGTTTGTTATCCATCTCCCACATCTCCGACCAGCATGGTTGACAGCAGCTATATACACATTAAGTCAAGTCAGTCTAAGAGTTGCTAAATTAATGAAGTTATAAAGTAATGAACTGTTTAATTGCATGCCTATGCAGGTCACCATACTGTTACTTAATGTGTATATAGCTGCTGCCAACCTTTCTGGTCGGAGGTGGATAACAATCTCACTTTAAAAAACAAGCATTCCATTGTATGTTCATTAACTGCAAGCAGCCAATGATAGTTACAGCATATCCTCTGCATGCTCGAAGATTAACTGTGAATAACCAACTATTAACAGGTACGGAATATCAGATGAACATGATCCATTTTAATTTTTACGACGATATTAACCCCCCTCTGGTCTTCGCACCTGACAGGCCAACATTGACGAACATCATCACATTTACCCCCTCTATTTAAGACCGAAACAGGAGGAATTCGACACAATTCTGTCTGTTTGCCTGATGCTGCTGGTTGTTGCAATTGCCAGCGAAACATTGTTACTCGAATTGTAAATGTTGTGGATTTACTCTCCAACACACCGGTGTGCTGAACAAGTAACTAATTATATTCTTGGTTCTTTCGGTAAAGTCACGTAGAAGGGAAACAGTAAAATAATAAAAATATAAAACAATAAAATTATCACGACGTTTCGACCGCAACACAAGCAATCATCATCAGGTGTGAAAACCACTGCAAGAAAATTTGAGAAAAAAACGCCACTTTTTTCAAATTTTCTTGCTGTGGTTTTCACACCTGATGATGATTGCTTGTATTGCAGTAGAAACGTCGTGAGAATATTATTGTGTAATATTTTTATTATTTTATTGTTTCCCTTCTACGTGACTTTACCGAAAGAACCAAGAATATGAATCCCTGCAGTCACGAAAGCTTTAAATCAACATTAACTAATTGTCACGTTTTGTTTATGTGACAAACCTTGCTGATGGCCTGTGTTAGGTGGTGGTGGGTTTAACGACACAGATTTACACGATCTAACTCCACAAATCTTTATTATGGAAACCGTAACAAAGACCTTTCTTTGGGCAGATGGCTAAAGAAAAGTATACAGTGAGGGAAAAAAGTATTTGATCCCCTGCTGATTTTGTACGTTTGCCCACTAACAAATAAATGATCAGTCTATAATTTTAATGGTAGGTTTATTTGAACAGTGAGAGACAGAATAAAAACAAAAAAATCCAGAAAAACGCATGTCAAAAATGTTATCAATTGATTTGCATTTTAATGAGGGAAATAAGTATTTGACCCCTCTGCAAAACATGACTTAGTACTTGGTGGCAAAACCCTTGTTGGCAATCACAGAGGTCAGACGTTTCTTGTAGTTGGCCACCAGGTTTGCACACATCTCAGGAGGGATTTTGTCCCACTCCTCTTTGCAGATCTTCTCCAAGTCATTAAGGTTTCGAGGCTGACGTTTGGCAACTCGAACCTTTAGCTCCCTCCACATATTTTCTATGGGATTAAGGTCTGTAGACTGGCTAGGCCACTCCAGGACCTTAATGTGCTTCCTCTTGAGCCACTCCTTTGTTGCCTTGGCCCTGTGTTTTGGGTCATTGTCATGCTGGAATACCCATCCACGACCCATTTTCAATGCCCTGGCTGAGGGAAGGAGGTTCTCACCCAAGATTTGACGGTACATGGCCATCGTCCTTTTGATGCGGTGAAGCTGTCCTGTCCCCTTAGCAGAAAAACACCCCTAAAGCATAATGTTTCCACCTCCATGTTTGACGGTGGGGATGGTGTTCTTGGGGTCATAGGCAGCATTCCTCCTCCTCCAAACACGGCGAGTTGAGTTGATGCCAAAGAGCTCCATTTTGGTCTCATTTGACCATAGCACTTTCACCCAGTTGTCCTCTGAATCATTCAGATTTTCATTGGCAAACTTCGGACGGGCATGTATATGTGCTTTCTTGAGCAGGGGGACCTTGTGGGCGCTGCAGGATTTCAGTCCTTCACGGCGTAGTGTGTTGCCAATTGTTTTCTTGGTGACTATGGTCCCAGCTGCCTTGAGATCATTGACAAGATCCTCCCGTGTAGTTCTGGGCTGATTCCTCACCGTTCTCATGATCATTGCAACTCCACGAGGTGAGATCTTACATGGAGCCCCAGGCCGAGGGAGATTGACAGTTCTTTTGTGTTTCTTCCATTTGCGAATAATCGCACCAACTGTTGTCACCTTCTCACCAAGCTGCTTGGCAATGGCCTTGTAGCCCATTCCAGCCTTGTATAGGTCTACAATCTTTTCCCTGACATCCTTGTAGAGCTCTTTGGTCTTGGCCATGGTGGAGAGTTTGGAATCTGATTGATTGATTGCTTCTGTGGACAGGTGTCTTTTATACAGGTAACGAGCTGAGATTAGGAGCACACTCTTAAAGGGAGTGCTCCTAATCTCAGCTTGTTACCTGTATAAAAGACACCTGGGAGCCAGAAATCTTTCTGATTGAGAGGGGGTCAAATACTTATTTCCCTCATTAAAATGCAAATTTACTTATAACATTTTTGACATGCGTTTTTTTGGATTTTGTTGTTATTCTGTCTCTCACTTTTCAAATAAACCTACCATTAAAATTATTGACTGATAATTTCTTTGTCAGTGGGCAAACGTACATAATCAGCAGGGGATCAAATACTTTTTTCCCTCACTGTACCTACAGCCCTGATTGTGTTCAGTGCTATTCAAATGCAGTGTATTCCAGACACTCTTTAATGGAACTTGCCAAAAATCTCAACATAGGACCCTAATGAAAGAGTCATTAGGTTTGGCGAGGCTTTTGGCTAAACGAATGAGATGATTATACACGTAACTGCATCGTGCTCTATAGAATAAATATAAATCGATATAAATGGCTCGTGCCGTAGGAATGTGAAGTCCACTTCACGGAGGCAGGCAGGACCGCCAACAATTATGAACGCTGGAAGCTGAACCCGTGTTTAACGTTAAATATATTGGTCCGGTAGTATTTGTAAAAATGTTTTGGACTGTGGTATATGTCTTTGCTGAAGGTGTATTAAAATTTTGTTTTAAGAAGTACCCATGTAATGCAGTTTTTGTTTTTAAACCCTCAATTATTAGTTTCACAACTCTAACAACAATAGGCTGAATCCGTTAATATACTGTACAGTAATTTAATTATTTTGTTAGTGGTTAGTAAAGAGGTCAGCTTAAGTTTTCAGGCTGGTGTTGGAGGTAGAAGTAACGCTTATTTTTCTCCATTTATCATTTATGACACATGAAGAAATGCCATTGCCCAAAACGTCACCTATTGTAATGCTCTAACATTTAATGCCACCGTATTATTGACTAATGTGTTGAGTTTTGTTATTTGTGCAGTATCAAATAATTTGTCTTCGTACACTCTGGCTGAAAGAACTTGACTTATTAATATGTGATGTGATAGTAGGGGGCGCCACGGTGGCCTGGTATACAGGGGGTCATGGGCTCGATCCCGACCCTGACGCCTGCATATTTGGAGTTTGCATGTTCTCTCTCCCCGTAGTTGCTTGAATTTTTCTCCGGGTCCTCCGGTTTTTAACCTCCACATTCAGAAACATGCGTTTAGAGTATTGAGCTGCTATACATTTCCACGTGATAAGCCACGTCGTTGGGCTATCATTTGTGGCCAAGTCGTTCATCTCCTTTGAAAGGTTGGTGACCC